AGAGTATAGATCGAACCTTTTATATTTCATACACATCATAAAAATCGCGATAATTCGTTAAAGCTTTGCACGTGTGAAAATATCAGAATTAAATCTATTGTCCGTTCACTGTAAATTCTTTAATTTGTTAATTAATACTCGTTATCACACAGTGGATAAAATCACGCACAAATTCGGACACCTGGGATTGTTTGTCCAATAAACGATGAATAATTTTGATAAGTTAAATTAAGTAAGTAACATTGCAGACACATACGTTAGTCGCACATATAATACGCAAAGTAGTGCATATCTAAGTTAGATAACAGATTACACTTGCAGTAGTGTAATATTCAGACGACTAAGTTCAACACGCGTGATTATTAATACCTTGAACGCATTATACGCGTTTAGAATTTATTATTATTCCACCGACGTTTTCAAGGATTTTCATTTGCATGTTGTCTCAGCTTGCAGCAATTAGCTGCAATTGAGTCGGGAGTTATATTATTTTCAGTGTGGAACACTAACTTATCTTTACTCTACCTGATATCGCCAACTGTAGACGAGATATTTGACAAGTTTTTCGTAGGGCTGCTTTGTACTCAAAGGGTTAAAAATAATAATAAAGTGCACAAGAAAGCGCAATAGGAGGTATTTTTACGAGTTATATTTTACCATGTTTAACTCGACGGCATCTTTCAATTTCGCTTCCATTCGAAGACATGCGGCGAAGTGAAATATTATATGCACTTCTTTCATCAGTGTTTCCTGCTGTTCATCGGTAAGGCCCAGATTATGCATAGTTATGTCACCGTCCAGCGGCTGCAATTTCTTCAAGACATGACCTTTCTCTTGATGTATTCTGTGAAATATCTGCGGAACAGTCAATAAACACAACGATTGTCAATCTCTGACATCCACAGGTATGGATATGTCATCACCGTTCTTTGGTTTCGTAGCATCCTATATTCTTGATCAAACATAACAGCGCGATATTTGTCGCTCATCCAACATGTCGAAGCCAAGATACGGTGGCACATAATTAGCGGGATATCTTACAGGTAACTTGAACATGTCGTCGAGCCTGAGTTCGATACTGCGTCCTTTCTTAGGTCGTACGAGGAAGTAGATTTTGTCGAGATCGGAACAACTGTACAATAGTTTCTCTAAAAGGACCTTTCCCATAAAACCGGTAGCGCCGGTAACAAAAATGGTCTTATTTTTATAGAAGGATTGAATCGGGCTGCTTGTGCCGCTCATGATCGTACGAAATATCACGCAATTTGTTGCGGTTCTGTGCTATACTGCAAAAATGAACGATTTTTTTAAACAAATAAGTGACGAGCGAGAATATAAGGAAATATGGTAATTATGTACAATAAGGCCTTTTTTGAATTTTGATATTTTTTTGTAGCTCTTTTGGTAAAAATATTTATTTTTACCAAACATTGATAATCAATCGGGGGAGTCCGAAAAATATGCAAGTTATATATTGTTTTAACTTTTTTTTTCACTTGTCAAACGTTGCTGCTTTCCCATAATTTAAACAAGTTACTGATCTTTTAATCATATTATGTAACTGCAATATCGAACGACTAGCGGGGGACTGCGCCTCCCGCACCTCCCCTCAAAACTAACCTAAATCAACCTATCGTCACATTAACCGTCAGTCATTGTTTATTAAAGTGTTCAACTTTTTTTCTGAATAATTTTTTAATAAGCAATGACTGACGGCTAATGTGACGATAGGTTGCGTTAGGTTAGTTTTGAGGGGAAGTGCGGGAGGCGCAGCCTCCTGCTAGTCGTTCGATATTGCAGTACTTACTACACTAGTACAGAAAAGGCAACTCTAAGAACAAACTTTACGTTGCAATCACAAGTTTCCTAATCTATCATACCTAGCATATTTAACAATTAATTTTTTGGTTTGTACAGCCGAGCGACGATTTTAAATTTCAGATTCGGCTTCTACGCATCGAAATACATAAGATAGGTGAGTTTCAGCGAAATCCAAGGTCAGTAACTTGTTTAAATTATGGGAAAGCAACAACGTTTGATAAACAAAACAACGTTTGATATACGAAAGTAAGAAAAAAGTTAAAACAATATATAACTTGTATATTTTTCGGACTTCCCCAATTGATTATCAATATTGGAGTCAAAATAAATATTTTTACCAAAAGAGCTGCAAAAAAATATCAAAATTCGGAAAAAGCCTTATTATACATAATTACCAGAAATATAATTGTAATTTTGCAGCTTATAATCTTTTTCCTATTTACACTCAGCTTAGGCGCATAATGTGTAAAACGCATGCAAACCTCAAGCAATTGAGAATTACGTCGCATTTATTTCCAATTAGTATTTTGTAGCCTAACGGGGGTTTACTGGTTACACAATAATTTGATGTATACTTATGTAAATCAAGGTAAATCAAGATGAAACATAGTTTATGTTTTTGAGAGAGATTATCAAACGCGATAGAAATGCATAAGTACAGTGAATTTTATGACCGCCGCGAATTTTGTTTGTTGGCTGGTCGAGCTTAACAAGTGCGCTTATGTTCTGAGATCGTCGACTAGTCGAATAGGTAAATTAAAAATTTTATGCACTTCATCTAGGTCAAATCGTCTATCTTTCATCGGGAAGAGCTACAAACTTACCAGTTATAGATCAGCAAAAAGTTTTTGTCGCGGGCAAACAATAGAACAATACGATAGTGACGTTACAGATATATTTTGCTTTAACGTCCTCTTCTGCATTTGAGGATATGTGGTGCTTGATCGGATCACACATGTAAGGTTTACGAATTTACTAAGCTACTCCGTAATTCTCTGTGATTTATACTTTCATGCTAACTCCCTCCTCTATCTCACTCCCCACCTGTACGTGACGTCATAATACTTTTATTTTTTCGCTCCTTCTAGTCTATTTTGATTTGTAATATATATAATGCAAATAACTTACATGGAAAATTTTGTAAAATTTTAATCATTTATGAGATGTTTGTGATATTGACGAACGTAGTTTTACAATAATAACCGATTTACAACAAATAACCGATTTACAATTAAATGTTTTACGTGTCCCAATGTATCACTTGCTAAATAGATCTATCCTTTATTATAATTTGTGATGCAAGATTTAAATTAAATATGTAATAATATAGCAGCTATTCCGTCCGAAAAGTAATTACGTTCATTATAGTTGACACTCACGTTTCTAAGACTCATATTAAGTATAGGCACATTTAGTGTACTTTTATAGAACACTTGAATTCGTTTTTATGACATAATTAGAATTTTATCGTTACATGCACGCTCCTCAAAACTTACACTGTGTAACTTGATGTCCTTGCTGTTCTTGTTTACAGGAATAATTAGAGGAATGATCAGCAGAATTTATTTGAAGAATTTATTTATTTGAGTAACTTGATCAATAACTTGATTTAATAAGCAGGCAAGAATAACTTGATTTAATAAGCAGGATATACTAGAATTATCGTACATAATAACATACTTTGAAATTGAATTAAATTTGAAAATTCTATTACAATAATGTCGCAACAGCTTCTGAGCTGTGAACAACTTTTTAATTATGTCATAATTTCGTAAATAGATTTCTACATGCGCTTCGATCCGTCGTGCACCAATTTGTTAACTGTTATTGATTTTTACGGACCAAGAGACATGAACAGAATTATTTAATTCTAACAACACGAAATAGAAAATTTTTGGTAAATCTTTAGAATAATGGATCCAGCAGCTGACCTTAGCCTTCATATATATTATTCTAAAAATTTACCAACAGTTTATGTGTGTATTCGCATATTACCATGCATATTTCTTTCCCTTCTTTCGTCATTGCATTTGATATTGTTTATAAACACGCGATTGGTCAGACAAGAATAGACAGAAAAAAACAGAATAGGAATTTGCCATTGGCACTTGCTTGCTGTACTGTAAACCTTGATTTCTCTCTCTCTCTCTCTCTCTCTCTGTCTCTCCCCCTCTCCTTTCTCTCTCTCGCCTTATGTATGTGTTTTGCACAGTATGTATATCATTTTATTTCTTCCTGTTTTAAATATTTTCTCGTATATATAGTCTGCAAAAAGTATACCTTGCAAGAAGTCTACCTTGCGTTCTATCATGACTTTCGATTTAACGTTCGTTCAACGAAGTAACAGGAAATTAATTAAAAACAAGGATTCCAATCAGCTTCTAACATTCTTTTGCAACGTGTAATGCATGTGTGCAATATGTATTTCCGATAAAAAGTAGAATATATATTATAAAAATGTTGTAAAATAAAAAATATTATAAAATAAGAGTTATTATAAGAACAAAAACAACTACGCAAATGCCTATAATATCCAGTTTCTTACATAATTGCGATCTCTTATCGCAAGACGTGTATGTAGCATGATAAAATTAGTCTGTGTTACATTTTACAATGTGCCCTTGTGAAACGCCACTGACACATTTAGGAGAAAAATAATTCTTACCTCAATATCTAATGTAATTATTTATTTATGCATTGTTAATTCCAGCCGAAAAAAGATGTTGTTTTATGAAAACGTCATACATTAGCGCACTAATAAGGTCAAGGGAAGAGGTAAGAACTCTTGTAAAGTTGAGGTGTGGTAATATGGAGTTAATGAATAATAATAATGGGTTAATAAATAAATATTGGATGGATTATGAAGGTAGGAAATGTGTGTTGTGCGGCAGGGCTCAGGATGACATGAGACATTATATGCGCATGCATGTATACATGCGAGGTAGGGAGAGAATGGTTTGAGGAAATGAATAGGAAAGAAGAAATGGGAAGGGAGAGGATATGGAATGATGAATTAGATGAAATAAAAGAAAAGGTTCTAAAAAAGATTTGGAAAGAGAGGGAGAAGAAAATAAAAGGAAAAGGTGGGTAGAACATAGAAGTAAGGGAAGATAAGATTTTAGTGATAAGAGGAGGAATGGGTAAAAGATAAAACGTTGTATTATTTAATATTATTATTATTTAGGTTTAAGACATTTGTTAATTATTTTGTTAATTATTAGTTTCCAAGAAATGCAAAGAACCAGGAAATATGAAAGGCAGATATATAAATTGTATAAAAAGTGTATAGAAAGAGTATAAAAATTGTATAAATATGTAAAAATGTAGAAAAGGTATAAAAAAGTTGTGAAAGTGTTAAAATGAAGTAATTTTATGAAGGTTTATATAATAGGAAATAGATAAAATTTAGTCAAGGTTTAGGGAAGAAACAAAGGAAGAGAGGTACAAAAAAAAGGTTGTATGGCTGTGTTAGTAGCTGTGAATATAGTTTAAACGTACGATAAGTGTAGGTTTGAAGCGAAGTAGAGGAGATATAGTAAGATACGGATGGATAAATGGCTGTGTGAATAGAGTTAAGTTATTTTTATTGTAAATTAAGTTTTCTTCTTGGCTTGTAGCTGAACGGTAATAAACTACTACTACTACTACATTAGCGCACTAATATCTGTTTTGGAATCGACTTCATTTAGTCATTCGTACTCTTGATCGCCGAAGTCTACTAAAGATCGACTAATCTTAGATGAAGGCTCGAAAGTCAGAATGATTGGATAATATAGGGACAGCGTGCAATAAAGAGGCCGTTTTCATTGTTGGCTCTCCAAATTGTTTATTTAGCTTGATTAGCGATCCGGTCTGCTGATTAACTAGAACGTGTTAAGACAACATGGATGTCTACAAGTGTTTCGGCTCGAGAGAAGTTACAGCGCACGCGAACCAAATTGAAGCAAAAACGAAGTAAGAGAAGACAGTTCAGCTGAGTTCGGATTTAAAATCGACTATTTTAAGGCAATTTTTGGTAGACACACGCGTGCTCGGATTGATTGACAAGCCGCACGTGAAGATCAAGTGATAATGCAGACAATGTTTCCGCATGTTATTGACCGCATGATAGTGTTTCAAATCAGCTATCTTTTGTTTGTTTTAATGCTCGCGTATCTTTTGTCAGCGTTGGATATCCTTGATTCAGCGTTGGAGTCTTGATCTACACGTGCATTTTCTTAATTTCAAACATGATCTATAAAACGAAACATTTGCTACTGCGGCCAATTACTGCACATTTGCTATATCGCGCGCACAATGCTACTAAATTATATATGTTATATATAAATTATATATACAAATAAATAAATAAATAAATAAATAAATATATATATATATATATATATATATATATATATAACATTATACCAGAAAAAGTGTTTCGAAGTAATGTTAGATTATTTTTCTCGTTGATAACATAAGTGAAGTATCGTCTTGCGATATGCGGGATTTTCCATTGAATTTGAAAATTTTTCACTTTTAAATATGTCGACGCGTGGGGTAATGTATACTGTGGTCATGAATAATCTTCGATATTTCTTTCATAATTTACTAAAATTATTGAATTATAATACTTCAATTTTTATTAGATTAATATGTATATAATAATTCAAAACGTTTACACGTAATACAAAACGTTTAATATATGTTCCCAAATGTAAATGTGTATTAAATAAACTAATATATATATCCCTCAATTCTCCCATTCTGCAAATGAGACATTATATAAATAGCAATACTATTGTGACAGTGTGTATGAGTGAAGCAATTTTCGAAATATAATCTTGAAAGTTATTATAATAAGAAAGTAAAGATTTTTTAGAAAAGAAAATTTACGAAAAAGTCCTCGTAAGTTACATGGATTAAGACTTGATCCTGAGTTAACTAAAGAAACTTTTCGTTTTGCAATCTTTAAGGCGAAAGTTTTTCATCTGCACTTTGTTTCGCTGTGCTTGTTTGCCTTGCAGGCAATTTATGTTAACAACTGTTGTCCTTGACTGCAAATTATCACTCCAATCGTCCCATGTCTTGAGCTCTAGAAGCTACGTGATTCGGAGTCAGTATCTAGACGCATTGCGAGAACTTTTGTGTACACATACATCTTTATTGCAATAACAACAACCTCGTATGTATTCTATATATATGTATATATTTACTATATGTATATTTACTGTATGTATTTACTATATGTATATACTATACACTAGATATATCTAAACCACAATGATATATTAATCGAACCTAGATCTATGATCACCAAGATTCCCCTATACGCGCGTCACTCCCGATCGAGGTCATTGGAGTCTCCTAAAGATGCGTACGCCTACATGACGATTGATGAATTAAAGCTGGTGTAGGCCACTCGTTTTTAGGAACACTCTGCGACACACTCTGTCCGATCGGAGACCCCTGTACATGTAGAAATTGGTTAACAACTCTACCTCAAGTAAAAGCTCGAAATCAACTTTGCACACCAACTATACGCAGATTGCACTTTCCTCCACCCTGTGCATTTAGTGCACCACCACGCGACCGCAGATGGTTTAAGGTCCCTCCAAAGAGATCGGATGACATCGGAGAAATCTTTTCGTTGTTTTCCGTATGCTCGCTGCGTTGCACAAATTGCATACACATGTATTTGTATATATACAAATTGTATTTCGCAAATTATATATGTTGTGCAGGATGTTGCACTCACATATAGATCAGTACGACGGTTGTCTACAATAACATGATTGTGCGTTTTGCTGGCAAGCGCGTTTAATTTGTGTACGGTCTCAGAATAGGCATTGGCTAAATGCTCAACGTAAACTTCATAGAAAAGAAAGTGCGCAAATGAGTATTCTGCCAAGACCTACTGAGACCGTGCATGACTGCACGCGCCTGCCAGCGAAATGGATAGGCAACCTGTTATACCTGACTTAAATGTAAGTGCAACATTCTGTACAATTCGGCGTAATGGCCTTAACCCTTTATTTCATATTGGTTGCGCTATAAAACCATAATTTTGAAATTTTCTTATTCATTTTCATTGTAGTTTTATAACACGAAATCATCTGTTTGTAACAAAGCATAATTTGTATAGAAAGAGGGAAAATATTATTGTTGACAAACGGATTGTCAACTGATACAACTTAAAATTGATATAACTTAATCTACAGTCGTTTGTTTACAGCTATGTTTATACATGTGGTGCAAGTGACACATATGGTGTGTTATTGTTGTTTTGGAGTATACGATTACGATTGAAAGTACTTATTTTTCTTTGGTAAATAATTTTAAAACTAGCTTCTTTACAGTCTTATTATCAATCAATTTTATCTAAATTAATATTCTCGGAAAATCATAACAGATCAAAATACATATGGTTTCGCACTATATTTCTCCGTAACCATTATGAAACTAGAATATTTCTAATATAAGTTAAAGGCAAAAATAAAAACTCTGTTGATTCTACATAATCTAGTCTGTTATTACAAAGCACAAAAATGCAAATATAAACGTTTAGGTTGGTAACATCTGAATTCTTTTTAGTTTTCGAAAACACTTCTCGTAGATACGCTTATTGCAGCACAAAAAGTGCACTACATTGTTTTATGTGGGAATGCAAGATATGTAAAGTCGGTAAAGTATCAGAGATGAATGTTCTTCACGACGCCGCCTACGATTGGCAGCGACTTCATCTGCTGAGTAGCGAAGTCCAGGCTGTACCTTGCTATCTCCAAGTTGTTGTAAATGAGGTACAATATGCCGAAGTAGAAAAGGAATATCGCGAGATGGTGGACAACGTACATTCTGAAATGAGTCATGTCGCGAGAGTTCGGGATGAGAGCTTTCAAAATAAAATGAGAAAGTTGGTCTTAACGCACGCTGCGATAGCTGTGCGCACGTGCCCTCAAAAACTCTCAGAAACTTAAGAACAAAAACTAATTTAAATAAAGAATACTCACATTGCCTGATGCCGACGAGCTTTTGACAGACTAGATAAACTCTCTTTCATGCAGTACTGCCGAGTCCCGAGAACAAGAACCTTCATATACTCATTTAAGTTCACTCCCTTAAAATCGATTGAGAATATTTTCTGATCCTCCGGCGACATTTCGCCACGCATAATCAATAGTTTGGTATTGTGAAATATCCAATCCCTCATGGTGAAATACTGCAATATCTGCATGCCGTCTGAGATTCGCTTCTGGATTCTGACCATACTGTTTTGAACGTGCGGACAAGAAAGGAGGAGATAATGATATTATAATATGTTATATAGTTAAGTATTTTCAAGCGTCGATATGTCAACAGACATCGAAATAAAAATGCGTAACACTTACAATCTTTTTTGCCGAAATATCAACATCAGAAAGTCGATCAGATACGCGGGGATGATGTGGAAGAAGAAGAGCAAGATATAATGCACAAACTTGTTAGTATGCGGACTGCCACCCGGGTACCAAGCTTGTCCTTCGAAAGGATACTGGTAAACGGTGTTTCTACCCATTTCCAATATATCACCCCATGTGACCGGTACGACGCCGCTCTGCGTTATATTGTACACAGGTATACTTTTCTGCCTGTCGAGAAATTAAACGGAAAAAATTATAACTACTGACCCATTTCCAACTTATTTCGGTGCGATTTAAGTTGTTGAGAATATTGTTAAGTATCTCTTAAATATTTCAATGTACATCTTTCAATTTAAATATTAAGATAGAAAGGAGAGAAAGAGAGAGAACGGGAAGAAAAGAACGTGAAAGGAAAACCTAATAGAAAAAACTATTTGAATATTAATTTATGCATGTATTATTAAAGGCTAGACTGCAAAAATCTCAGAAGTCCTACATAATATAAAATAATTTTAACTGAATAAAAAGTTTCATCTCAACATCTCTAGAAGAAAGTTCTTGAGACAAAATATACAAACGAATACAAAACGAAATACAAAAACGTATATATGTATAGGGCAAACTGAGAACCTCTTTTCCATTTGAAGTCGGCGAAAAATTCGACAAACATGACGAAGTTATCGCAACAACAAAAGGGAAAGAAATAGCTAGGTCGCACAGAAAGTAGGTACTTACTTCTGTTGGGTAGCCACTTTATGGGCGATACCGATTAGAGAATTAATTGCGAAGTCAACCGGAATAACTTCAGCGTGATACTGGGTGTCACAAAGCATCGTTCTGAGGACACCCTTGCCTCCAGCGACGAGTATCCCAGTGGGACCATTCAAATTGTCGACCCATCCCGGCACTGGCTCCTTGACGGCAGGAGTTACTGCACGAAGAGATAAAAAGAAAAATCAATCGAACGATCAGTCCCTTCTTGTTGCATATCATCTGCTATTTCTGACAATTATCGAGGCACGCATAATTACCTATTGACGGCCTGGCGATGACGCAAGGTAGATTTTGATATTCCCTGGCCACCAGCGTTTCGGCCAAACGCTTCGTGTAGGTGTAAGTATTCGGATGCGGTTCCAATAATCTGCGATTAGAGAAAGAGATGAGCGCGCAATATTACGAAACTGCAATATTTTTCACAATCAGCACAACAAAATATGATAACTTAGTCATTTGATGAACGATCTTTTCTGATGTATTTTATGTAAATACTGTTACTCTTGTACAGGACCTCGCAGGTTATAATCAAATAATTAGTCACGTAGTATCCCAGCAAATACAATAATATAATAGTTTCATCGTCATAATATAAAGGAATGTAACGTGCAATATAACATGTTTGTTACATGTAACATACACGTTAGTTGTAATTTCCCACTCAAACGATATTGCAACTATATAACAGAAATATAACATGTTACTAAAATGTTATATAGCTGTTATATATATTGCTGAAATGTTATATAGTTGGAGCATAAATTATTATTTCCCAGCAATTATAGGTATTTAATTGTACGCAGAGATTATAAGCTATTACTCAAATATCACTTAATTTGTAAAAGTATGTTTTTAAAAATATTATAATTATATATTTCGTATCAAAAATATTTTTACTAAAGGTAATAACATAAAAGTATCTTGCCATTTTAAATTAATTAGCTCCCAAATAATACAAGATATTCCAGAATCATCCTACAGCTATTCTAGATGTCTAGTGTCACAGTAGGCATTTTATGCTATTGGAGCTATTTTCATTTATTTATTTTCATCTTTCTGTACATATTCAAATGGAAAGGATTACTATTATAACAGTAATTTCCATTATCAAAAAGCGTATCACTTCACTTTACTATAAAAGTGAACTCCATAGTACAAGTCGTCTTGTGATCATCGTTATATATATATTCTTCTATATATTAATGCATCATATTTTATGAGAAAGACACGAGAAAACGGAAGCCATCTAGCGAATGATCCGATCCCTAGATATAAAAATGCTATATAACATATATGTAATGCAAATAAACGCTTATATAACATATTATATTTTAGTTATATTGGTGTTATATAATTATAACTTTTAAATAACAGAGAATTAATAGTATTATAAAAGTTCTAAAACACAGTTAGATTGCAGTTATAAAAGAAAATTATATTACTTTAACATTAATAACGTATAACATCCGTTATATTACGTGTTACTTCTATGTTGTATAGTAGTTATATTCTGTGTTTGCTGGGATTTAACTTCTTGCATTCGAATTACGTCTCATAGATTACTGTTTACGAGCACATATTATGTGTCTCGTAAGATAGAGTAAAATAACTTCTCTTATTACTTAAGCAGACGCACATGTTCTGCAATTGTCGCAAGCGACAATTAAATGCAACGCAAGAACGGCGTTAATACTCAGCTTAGAATCAATCATTTGCTGCTGCCGAATATTGTTAGTCAAATTCAATTACTTAGGCGTGACCAAGTCGATGGCGCTTTCGTCCATCCATTGAACGAGTTTTATGATGTCGTCGGGGTCATGCGAAGCGTCGTAGACCGTCTCCCCAAGTTCCTCCTGGTCGACGTGACAGAAAGCTGTGCTTAGATGCACCAACACCTGCAGGTGTTTCATCTGCTGAGCCAGTTCCAGTACCCTTTTCGTGCCGATCTTGAAGAGTACAAATCAAGTCTTGTTTATTTCATACATGTCATAAGAATGGAATAGATTCATTAGAGTCCTACACACAGACGATAAATCAACTAAACCTTCTATTCTGCTGTCTGTTCACTGGAATGAGCAACTAGAACTTGGATATTGTTCGTAGACATACTGTTTAAAAATATTGAAAGCGTAGAAAGTTATCTATGCTCACTTGTTCACTGTTAATAATTCTTAATGTCCATTGTTAATTAATATTTTCGACCACACAATGTATGAGGAGACCAATAGATTTGAATGGATTGCTCGTGTAATTCGGATCTAAGTCGAATAACGAATTACGTTTGTAGAACTCTAATAACCACGCAATTAAGCTTGACGTGAACAATTATTAAGCTTTTGAATTCTATGGGCGCATATATACATTCGACGTAAAACTTTCGCGACTATTAACTCTCTGAATGCTGAATGCATATATGTGCTTAGAGTTCAGTATGAACTACCGACGTCTACTCTCTTAGTTTGTCGGCAACTGTTTTAGTTGGAAGCTTTATTACTTTAAGTTTCGCACACCAACTTATCTCTGTTCTACCCAAATATCGCCAATATTGCAAACGAGATATTTGACAATTTCGCAAAGTTCTTCATATTGTTGCTTAGTACTCAAAAGATACTCAACGAATGATTAATGAAGCGCACGAGAGAGCAGAAAACGGCACTCTTCTTCGAATGATGTCTTACCGTATTCAACTCGACAGAGTCTTTCAGTTTCGCCTCCATTCGAAGAGTCGCGGCCAGATGAAATACTATGTGCACCTCATTCGTCAATGTCTCCCGCTGTTCATCAGCAAGGCCCAAATTGTGTGTAGTTATATCACCGTCCAGCGGCAGCACTTTCTTCAAAACGTAACCTTTCTCTTGACGTATTCTGTGGAACATCTGCGGAAACAATCAACAGCACAGCGATTATCTATCGTCGGCGTCCACGCGTATGCATCCCAGCAAACACAATGTTACATGTAACGTACATGTTAGTTGTAATTTCCTACTCAACAATATAATTGTTACGTAACATGCATGTTATATAACAGTTATATTGTTAAGTAAGAAATTACAACTAACATGTATGTTACATGTAACATTGTGTTTGCTGGGATATGTCATCACCGTTCTTTGGTTTCGGGGCATCCTACATTCTCGATCAAACATAATAACGCGACGTTTGTCGCTCATCCAACACGCCGAAGCCAAGGTACGGTGGCGCGTAATTAGCGAGACGTCTTACGGGCAACTTGAACATGTCGTCGAGCCGGAGTTCGATACTGCGACCTCTCTTGGGTCGCATGAGGATGTAGACTTTGTCGAGGTCGGAGCAACTGTACAGCAACTTCTCCAAAAGTACTTTCCCCATGAAACCGGTAGCGCCGGTAATGAAGATGATTTTGTCTTTGTAGAAGGATTGGATTGCAGTCTTTGGGCCATCCATGGTCGTGCGCTGAAACATCACTTTAACTTACGGCAAACTCACAGCCCAGCGAGTTTGCATTACATTGCAAGATTGATGGTTTAGAAAAAGAGCATAATAGGGAATGCAATTTCACTTGTAACGTGTAATCTTTAAGCCTTTCGCACATGCGCTAAAGGAACGTCTACTGCACGAAATGTTGCACATATTTCTAATCCCTGTAATTATCTTTTTCGGCTACGCCTCCATCCTTTCGCTGTTGCGAATTAATTTCGCAAATTGTCCCGGTTCTGGTTTAATCGCAATGCCGGTCGCAACAGTTTCCGTCTGCAACAGCTTGAACACAAAAGTCGCCGCAAGAAAGGAAAATCAGTGAAAGGCCGATCAAATGTAACGAGAGATCGTAATTTCACGACTCGATCTGTATTTTGTATGCAAACTTACTCGCCTCTTATGAAAACTGTTATCCATTATGACTGTTACTGCTACTCTACTATTGCATGGAGATCGCGTATAGATTTCAATGCTACAATGTTTCATCAACTTGCATTACATAAATCTATGCAATTTATTTTATCAAGGAAAGGTTACTTTTTGTATAATATTTCATTTACATCGGTCAGTTATTCCTAGAAATGCATTTAAACACGCTATAATAGCGGCGATCTTAATAATGATTGGTTAATACGCATGAAATAATAATGAATGCAGAAACAGAATAATGATGAAGACGCTCTATATATACGCTCACAGTTTAACTGTTATACAATATTTTGTTAAAAAATATGAATAAGAGAAAGCGTAGGATATTTTCTGTCTACGGTATCGGCATCAATTTGACTGACGCGTTCAGAAATTGAAAATCGCGGCTACGTCCACGCGATAGAGGAGATTCGTCATTTGCGGACGTCGGAGCAGTATTGTATTCTTACATTCGTCAATGGGCCCGTCCCTTCGACTTCCTCTTTTTTTAGTCACGTGGAGTAAATTGCCCGAGATGACAGGACGCAAACGAGTGAAGTCGTTATACGCACATTCATGAATCGTAATTGTGTTACTTCCGCCGAAACTATCGATCGATTGCGTTTCAATCTGAACAGCAAAAGCTTCTGTGCGAATACACGTAATCACGTTTCTTGTAAATGAGAATATAGAGTTTATAATAATAAATAACCAAAATTTGTGCAACTTAAGGGGATGCTGGATACCGACATAATGCGGTCTCATAGTTTACACTGTTTCCCTATTTAGTTGCATAAAATTGTAAATGTTATTACAGAGTGAAAGTGCAAATGTCAATGCATGGAAAGGCGTTAGATATTGCATCAAGAATGAAAAAAATTTTCTTTATTTAGAAATCACTTTTTGCTTTCAATATAACATTTGATGCCTCCCCATGTATTGACATTAATACTCTCATCCTGTAAAATGCATTTACTATTCTATGTAATTAAATAGAAAAGCAGTGCAATCCATGAAACTGTATTATGTCGGTGCCCAATATCCTCTTGAGAACGGAGTTGCGATAGATTCAGTTTCTACACGAATTAATTGCGCCAATTGTCGAAATTTCGTGTGTACCTCTCACATTTAAAATTCGTGTACCTTTTGATAAACAAACAGTCGTGTTATATAATGAGAGAAAAAGAAACAACTTCAGTTTCCATATTAAGAAATCCATCCATATTGAGAAGAGTTTTTAACACTTCCCCGGAGATATTTAATTGTGCAATAGAACAAATCTCAATTGCATAATCCAGCATGAAATCTACGGGCGCCCTGTGTATACTCCGGATTGAGAATTTCTCAACATCCGAGTTGCTTCATATTGAATTCTTTTTATGAATACGATGGAAATGTGCTAATGTGCACATTTGCTACTACTTTTGGCCTGATCGTTCTTTGCTACGGTGTCATCACCACACGCAAAAAAATGATTTAGTAATATCAGCTAAACTGCGGTAGCTGATTCAAAAGGTTAGTCAAAAGGTTAATTGTTTAATTGCATATATGCGTTTAGCTATTACTGTTAAGAATTGGCTATGACAGTTAAGATGCATTCGTTATGAAATACAAATATATTAAGTGACATTAAAAATGCATATTATTTCAAGTAGCTAAGAAAGTGGCAGTTATTCCTAAATTTCTTATCGTATACATATATTAAAGAAGTTTGCTGTACAGCTACAATCATTTGTTACAGTCATTTATTTCTAGCAGCTAATATTTCTCGCTGTAGCGCCTAAGTTTAACAGCGAATAAATTTAGCTTCGGTAGTATCGACATTAGCTGTCGCTATTTCAGTGACACATCTTATCTGCCACAGCTATTTTTTAGCTCTGGAAGCTAGTTCTTTTTTTGCGTGCACTCCCGATGGCAAATGATCTGTTCTAACGACACGTCCTTTGCGTAACAATTGTATACGATATTATGCGCGATTCCGTATAACGGATATTTTGATAGCGCATCGCCGCGTTCGGCACACGGGCAATAATATTCCCAGGCAGGAAGTCGTAACACGCATTTAGAGAATCCTTTGTTCTTCCTTGGCAATATTCAACGAACATCGCCCAATGAAACGACTGTTTGGTTTCCTAATGTTGAAACTTTTCCGACTGCGCGCAGATTTGCTCAACTCTCCCGCCTTTCCTTCTAGTTAAGTGTCTAACTTATAACGGTGTTTACGACGCGCTTTGGGAGTTTAATTTGTGTACTTCGCAAGTATTGAGCGAGATTACATGACAATAATAATTAGGAGTAAAGGAGGACAGTAATAATTAGGAGAAAAAGGAAAAAATTAAGGACGTGAGATTTTCCGGCTTTCTTATCTTTATATCTTCGTCGAAGAAAGTGCTCCAACGCACTGCGGAGTGTACGCACGTAACACGTAAAATGCATGCGAGGCTCATGCAGCTAGACATTACGTCACTACCACCAGAATCTGTATTGCTCGGCGTAACGGTGGTTTACTCGTTAAACAGCGACCCAACGTGTACTCACGTAGGTAAATCAAGACGAGTCGCTATTAGTGTTATTGGAAGAGATATAAACGTCAAGTGGGATGAAAGTGCATTCGTACTACGCGACCGTCGTCAATGTTATATTTAACGAGCGTTCCGTCTCGGATTCGCGAGAGAATGTGAAAAAACACAGCGTGTCGACGAGACTTTTAAATAGACCAAGTCTCGCAATTGAAGATTTTGAGATTGAACAGTCATAATTAGCAAACCGAAGAGAAGTCAACGAAAAGGATTCCTCGAATTTTGAATGCGACGCGGCTAAACAAATTACTGTAACTAAGACTAAGGTAAAATCATGGTTGAAAAAAATAACAGACTCGTGACATTTGTATCCCGACGGGATGCAAGCGCCGAATAGGAAATAAATACGGTTCGCTACTGGAACTAAACAGGTGCATTACTTTGCGTGCTTTTCCCGGGATAATTGACGAGATTGTACAACTCGATTTGGAGCGTGATGCAATTTCCCGGCGCGCGATCTCGGCGAAATTGTTGGTCGGGAAAATCTACTATATGTGTCTCTCAGTTATAGATCGGCACAACGGCTTTTGCTACGGATCGACAATACGGCCGACACGATACAGAGGCGGTACAGATGGTTGCAAAATATTGAGTACCTTGTCGACGATTCTCTACACGTGCCGACTTGAATCCGTTGGATCACCTACGATCGGTGCGACGCTGCGTTCTACGCTCTCCCACGCTTGCGAATCTGCGAGATTAGGTAGGATTGCACGCGATGTTCGCGAACTTACTGAGCTCCGTCACGATCCGCACCGAAAGTTGTACTGTTATAGAACGACTTGCCGATCTCCCTTTCCCTCTCTTACTCTCTCCTTCTAACTCTCTCTTTCTCTCTCTCTCTCTCTCTCTCTCTCTCTCTCTCTCT